GTCATTTAAACAGTTAATTAGCAGAAATGTCCATAACAATTTACAAATTGAATTGTTCAGACAAGGAGCCATGCTCTTGAGTGAATACGAAAATAATAAAGAAATTAAAGCTAAGGGATATCCAGTCTCTCAGTGAATTGTCCCATTTTGCAAGTCAGTTCAAGCATTAATGAAAATATGAAGAGGATGGATTTAGCAGAAAAAAGCAGATCCTCAGAGCCAGTAAGCCAAGATGAAGCAGAAGCATTGCAATTTTCTCCATTTACGTTTTTGAGAAAATGTTTTTGATTTCAAGCACATGTCACACAGTTCATGTAGCAATAATCCCTCTTGAGCAACAAATCTGAATCCTTAATTATTTTTTTTTATTTAGCTGGTTATTTAAGAGTTGGTATGTGGTCAGATATATACTGGTTTAAGGTCTCTCTAAAAACGTGCATGCAAATTATAGGGAAAGAAAGAATATATCATTTTAGCTGGTAGTGACAATTTCATTAAATGTTCTTAGCATTGTACTTTAATTTCCTCAAAAAGTGCTTTCTTTGTTATTTCTAATAATTAGTTACATTGGTTCCAAAAAGTGATCCACAGTGTGAAATTGTAATGAAAATCTAGACTACATTTCTGAGAAAAATCACATTCAAATAGAGAATATGACTGCACTCCAAAACAAAAGGAACTTGATATTCCCAATGAAACAATATTTAATCCCATGTCTTCATGAGAAGATTGGTTAAAAGAATTTCATATTTTTCAACCTTTTGATTTTAAATGCCTACTATCAGAACAGGAACATATGTGCAGCTTACTTCAAGGCCATTCACTCCAGTAACATGTATGCCATATGGAATCAATCCAGTTGATAAATTCAGTCCATCACAACTATATTAGCTGAATTTAGGTTCATTGGCAGAAAAACAAATTCCCTACATTCCAGAGCAACTGTAAAAGTTGGTCTAAGGCAGTACAACTTTGAATATAGATTGTAAGTAATCAAAATGAGATTTTGGTTTTGAAATGAATGAGTAAGCTGTGGTATGCCACCATGTTCAAGGTTTTCTGGGTGGGGCTATTGTGCACTTGGTTACTGTTATCATATATATTGTAAAACTGTATTATGTGCATTTGCTTTGGAAACAAGCAGAAATTCCAATTTTTATTTCTTGAAGTACTATTCTTATTACTTTTAGGTAGAAAAGCAAAATGTGTATAAAATTAAAGGTTACACTATTTGTATATGAAAATATGAACACATTTTTCCTGAGCTATACTGCACTACTAATGTTGTGCAGCATAGCTCAGAAAAAAATTCATTCACATGTTCCCAAACAAATGCAAATTTATTTATACAATAATTACATTATGATAGAGCATGTTTTCTGTCGAGTTACATTTAATTTTAATACTAATATAATTAAGTAAAATGAATTAAGTAGTACTTGACAAAATTAACCCAAAATAGTGTTATCCTTTACCATATCATTATTGTAAAAAAAACTTATTATAATGAGTCTTAGAGTGATAAAGCATGTTATAATGAGTGCCTTGTTTATGATGACCAATGTTATAATGAATATCTTTCAGTAATGATCCATGCTATAAAAAGGAATTTTTTATAATGAGTGTTGTTGCAGTGATTAACCATCTTGAAAGTGCCATATATTGATGACCATGAGATAATGGATGCCTTGCAGTGATGAAGCATGCTATAAAGAGTGTCTGATAGTGATGAACCATGCTTATAATAAAGAGTGTCTGATAGAGATGAACCATGTTTATAATAAAGAGTGTCTGATAGTGATGAACCATGTTTATAATAAAGAGTGTCTGATAGTGATGAACCATGTTTATAATAAAGAGTGTCTGATAGTGATGAACCATGTTTATAATAAAGAGTGTCTGATAGTGATGAACCATGTTTATAATAAAGAGTGTCTGATAGTGATTAACCATGCTTATAATAAAGAGTGTCTGATAGTGATGAACAGTGTTTATAATAAAGAGTGTCTGATAGTGATGAACCATGTTATAAAGAATGTCAGTAATAAACCATGTTATAAAGTGTCTGACAGTGACAAACCATGTTATAAAAAGTATCTGATGGTGACAAACTATGTTATAAAGAGTGTCTGATAGTGACAAACCATGTTATAAAAAGAGTATAATAGTGACAAACCATGTTATAAAGTGTCTGATAGTGACAAACCATGTTATAAAAAGTATCTGATAGTGACAAAAAATGTTATAAAGTGTCTGATAGTGGCAAACCATGTTATAAAAAGTGTCTAATAGTGACAAACCATGTTATAAAGAGTGTCTGATAGTGACAAAAAATGTTATAAAGAGTGTCTGATAGTCATGAACCATTTATAAAGTTTCTGATAGTGATGAACCATGTTATAAAGAGTGCCTGATTGTGATGAACCATGTTATAAAGAGTGCCTGATAGTGATGAACCATGTTATTATACAGCAGGGTCTTGCATTTAGACATGCTAAAACTATGATTCTAGTCATTTGATTGTTATACTTCAGTGCCTGATGACTTCCAAGAGATTTTGATGGGTTATACACAACATGGATACAGAGTTCTAGGCCTGGCTTACAGACGTCTTCCTGAAAAACTCAAATATGCGAAAGTACAGCGTATCCAAAGGTAAAAACATCACTGAGTGTGACTCATTTTTACTTTCAAGTTCTCATTTATTCAATACTGTATAAGACTGATTTGGCACTCAATTAATAAGACTCCTATATCGGTATGAATATCAGCATAAATCATGAAAAGTGTTGATGTGCATTTTAAATATGATTGTATTTTTAATTTTTAGATTTATTGATAGTAGACCAGGGGAGTATATACAGTGTTTTGTTATGGATTAGTCTGTCCATCATCTGTCTTCTTAATATATATTTGTCATCATTACTGCACCTAAATTACTAGAATAATTGCTACAAAACATTCTATCATCACATTCATCAAAAGGTCTGGTTGGTTATGTAAGAAGTTGGCTTCCACTAGGCATCCATCATGGCTGCTATATGGTTACCATATTGAAAATACTGTTATCACTACTCTCCTATTTAACTAAAGGTTATATTAACATAGGGTTTCATTAAATGACAAGAGGTCGACATGGTCCTAATTGAAAATGCTGCCAATCTGACAATCATAACCATCTTGAAATTCTTGTCATCACTACTGTTATTCTTAACTGATGGTCATATTGACATTGGATTTTCACTGACAGTGTTCATATGATGTCGGGTTGGTCCTAAATGAAGATGCAAACAAACTGACATTTTATATGGTAAATGTGGTGGCCATCTTAACATTGCGTTATCCCCATTTTCACTGGAATTGATTTAACATGGAGTTTGCACTCAAGAGTTGTATATGCTTTGTTGATCAAAAATAAAATGTTTTTGATCTGACATACATTTGTTTTATGGTGATCATCTTTAAAAAAAAAAACTCTTGTTACTGCTATTTCTCCTAATTGCTTCATAGGTATCTTTTATCAAATATTTTGTTTTCTACTTTCTGTACAACAGATGGACATGGTGGGATCTGTTTATCTGTGTGCTAATCCATCCATTTTCCATTCTTTCCATCAACCCATCATGTCTTCTTCCATGTATATTTCCCATTATTTTCATGTTTGCAAATCAATTCCTCTAATTATTATTGGATTTCAACATAATGTGGTATGTAGACTGATTGGCTAAAGTTTGATGATCAGATCTTTTGCAATATTGCCTAGCAGGGTTTTAGTCTCTGATTGTTTAAACCCAAGCAATGTCATTTCTGCTCTTTTAAAGTCTCATGAAAGACAGATATGAACTAGATTTGGTTAAGCTGTTTGTTATTGATGGGGTCTTGGTTGATTTTAATTGTCAGCCATCTATTTAATCATCAGAAGAGGGATAACTCTTACACCCATTGACTTTTCTGTAAAATAAATTCCTTGATTATTATTGGATTGAGCCTTATTTCATTGGCTGCTCTGCTTGCTGCTGAAAATATTTTGGATTAGGTCATTTGTCAATATTCAAGGTTATAGACCTTGGTTATTGGACCCATCCTTATTGTTCATGATATTAGCTCAGTATATTGTAAATGAGCTTCAACCAAATTTGTATGCATCATGGTTTTATGAAACCTTTGCATAAGTCATTGTTACTGTTCTGCATCCATTTATTGATTTTGTTCACTGTATTTAAAAGTTTTCACCATTTCAAGGAAATAGGGAAAACATTGAAAGAAATAATGTTTCCAGCTGGGAAAAGCTCTTTATGTTTGCAAATATTAATCAGTCAAATAAAACCCAGGAGTTTTTTGCCATCACTTAATAACAGAAAAATGAAATAGTCATAATTTAAGCTAATCATGAGTTAAATTTATTTGGGTTTTACCAGAATTTTTGGATGTTACAGAACTGTACAGTAAATTGATATGCATTTACTGTATAGATCGGTTGAATGCCAGCCCAAAACATATTGCTCATGTGATCAGATTGGTTATTCTTGTCTGCTGCATCTTTTCCAACAAATAGAATATAAAATATATAATTATCAATGCATCTTCACAATGTGCCTTATATTTGTAATGAGTTTGTGAAAGAAAGGTAATAAGGCTTATTTTCTTTGGTACCCCTTTTGATATGTAAAGCTGTTAAAAATTTATTGTGATAAATCTTTATCAATAAGTCAGTAGTTTTAATTCAACTATCATCAAAAGTACCAACCTTTGCAGATAATTTTACATTCAAACATTGATAGATACTAAGAAATCTACAAACTGCTTGGGCAGATTTTAAAGAATAATCCCATGTTCTGGGTGTAAAATTACCTGAACATTTGTGTTTCAAAGAGTGTGGGAACCTGTATATATGACATAAAATCATCCTTTAGTTTGATATAGAACAGTTACAGCGATTGATACCTTAATGTAGGAATTACATGCTTGATAGGTGGTTTGTTTTTTATTGCTTTTCTTCTGACTATTCTCAGTGGTTATAGCATTCGCCTTGGATGCGGGAGGTCATGGGTTCGATCCCTGGTCGAGTCATACCAAAACCTAAAAAAATGGTACTAACAGCTGCTTTGCTTGATGCTCAGCATTAAGAGGTTAGTGTTAGGACTGGTCAGCCTGGTTGCATGGATAATGTGACTGGGTGGGACATCATGCCACATGTCTTCAGCGTGATGCCCCATTGCTAGACATCACTATAAACTGCTACACTGCACACATTGTAGTGATATGACTGAAAAATTGTTAAAGCTATTCTAAAAATCATAATCACATCACATCACTGGTTATCTCAGAAAACTAATTTTTTTTTCATTTTTGTATATCTGATAAAAAAAACAATTGCATGATATTATTTTTTTTTAAAAATTAATAATGGCATCTTTTGCATTGTATGCAGATATGTACAATAAGACATGATATGAATATATATTCTTAAGGACATTTTTTAAAAAAACTATGTTTCGGTTGGCTTTCTTAGGAATCAAGTGATTTCCATAGCAATCAAAATGAAATACATGATTTTGAATTCTTGTTTAGAATTGCTCAGCCAATTGTATAAATCGGTGGTGGAAAATGCATCAGGGTGGCTCATTTAGCAGTGATGTGGCTTCATCAACAATTCGTTGAAAAAACCTATATTTAACTTGTCAAGAATGACTGAGCTGATTTCTTGAAATTTGATAGGAATGTTTAGAGCATATGTTCTCAAGATTTTGTCAAGGATGATTCTACTAAGAACATTTTTCCATGCTTTTTAAACAGGCAGACCATTTTTAATCAAACCTCATAATGATGTGTATTAGATGTTGCACAGGCATGTAGTTGTGTGAATCACACAACATTTGTATGAAATCATCCACTTTGTTGAGCAGTGATGTGTGGGAACTCCTGCAAATTAGTTGCAAGTTATATATATTCTGCTCAGTATATACACTTTTATATTAGCCATTCATCCTGAAAGTGCTTGACACAACATAAGCATTCCAGTATATTATAATTAAGTATTGTAGTATTTGTCAAAACATGCCTCTTTTGTAACTGTTTTTACAGTTGTTTTCTTGAGCTTGTCATACATATTTGTTACACTTAATTTCACTGGCATTTTGTGGCACATTGAGCCATGCAACAAGGTTTCTGTTGTAGTAACCTTGCATCCTGTGTGGATCTTGTACTACAAAACCATATGACCAAATAAGTGTGAAGATAAATGTTTTTTTAAAAAATTCTAAAATTAAAACTAGGGAGTTAAGATCGTTATTTCATCAAAATACCTTTGTTTGAACAAGGAGTGTATAACATTGATGGATTTAAAATCCTAAAGAGCATTATTAAACTGATAGTAAAATAATGGCATAGTAGTCAGTAAAGCACTGATTCAAGAAAGTGAAACTTTGGCAGAAATTATGTTAGTAAAACAATCTTATTTTGGAACAGAAGCATCCAAAGACAATACCTGTGAGCTGTGGAAAATTGTACATAATGATTATAAAGAAGAGTTTCCAAAATTGTTCCAGATAACTATTAATACAGAGGTAAAGAACAGATTAAGTGTAGGTTCAATAAACATATTAACATATAAACAACGAGAGATTATATTATAGAGATTATGATTTCAATAGGGTTCTAACAGAGTGGAGCATGAAGAAATCAGATGAATATTGAAGTGTTAAGTAAATATTGAACTATTGTCATTTCATCCACCCTCTCTATTTTGTTCTGTTCCTGGCTTATTGTTGTGACAAGGGGCAGTTCTTCACTTTAGACAAAATCCTGGCAGCATCTCAGATATTCTGTCATGCTTTTGGGTGCAGTGGCTCACATAGAGGCTTCATTAACAACTATGAGAAACTAACTTTTGACTTATCTCATATTGTTGATCAAGATTAGTACAAATGCTGCTAAGAAAATGGTTCAAAATGGTGTGGCTTTCATAGCAACATTTCAGTTTATATTTAGCTTCCCCATAATAACATAACCAATCTTTTTAATCAAACATGATTCAATAATGTTTCTTAGAATTTGCTACAAGCGTGCTCAGTTTGCAGTGGTGAAGCTTCAGTAGAGCACTTGTGGAAATGGTTCCATACCCTCCTGATTTTTAAAGAGTTCCTGGAATCCAACTGGAATTTAAATTCAACAAACATTCCTTGAAAATATAATTTTTTTTGTCAGAAAAACATCATGGAATTTGATATTAAAAATGTAACTAAAAACCTTTGTTGCAGCTAATATGTTATTTTACTACTGGACCTTGGCAGTGAACAATTTTGCAGCAATTCACTTATTACATTGGTATTTTTACAAGTGTTGAGTTTGATTCTTGTGACAAAGATTTGTGCACACATGCCTTCAACGGCACTATTGTGTCTTAATCAATATATCTGACTTAAAAAATGACTCCTGAAATTTGTCATTGTCACCTTAAAATATCCTGAAAAACTCTTGGAAAATAACAATCATTTTGATGCAGAAACCCTGAGAAAGCCTATGTATAACTTCTTGTTCAGAACAGCAGATTTCCTAAGTTGTTTCATTGATGACTCCTTTATCATTGGTGTGGATTTGATAGCAGCTGGGCAGAAAGTATGTAAAAGATAGTCATCTTCCATTGGATAATTGGCCGTTGTTTCTAATATTTTATTTATTAAAAAATTATGCAGTGACTTTCTCCTGTAACCTGTCTTTCAATATGAGACTAAATGTGATATGTAAAGACCTAGCATGAATGCATTTCACATTGATGCAGAAGGTCCCAATTATGTTGATGTTGTTGCTAGAATGCCATTTTTCAGCATGATAGACTGGCTTTATTTGGCCACAAATAATGGAAGAATAACCAGGCAACAACACCAAACCTATAGGAAGGTATTTGGAATATTTCAAACATGCCTACATTGGCCAAGCTTGCAACTCTGACCCATGCAGAAATATGTGAAATTGCAGCAATTGGTGAAGATGAGGTCTTTACACCAATTTGACATCTGGTTCCCAGATCACAATGCACCATCTAGTCAACCTGAAGTTACCCACACTATAAACACAGTGAAACAACACATCAGCTATCATTAATTTCAGCCAGGTAACTGGATATTATCCTGATGTGTGTCTTTCATATCAAGGCTCTTGCCACACTACTACAGTTGCCTTTTAGAAACTTGTATGCAGGTGAGCAATAATCGGTGCATCTTAGTCTCTTGTTTTTATCACGGATTCTAGATTATTGGATAGGGAGCTATGATTCAAATGCTTAAGCTCACTAAATATAGTAGACTGATATTTTTAGACTTCTTTTTAACATGACCTTATGTATGTTATACAGGGAGCAGGTGGAGAAGGGTCTGGAATTTTTGGGACTTCTAGTGATGGAGAACAGACTGAAGCCCACTACTGGGATAGTCATCAAGCAGCTGAGGAATGCCAACATCCGTACTGTCATGGTAACAGGTAAAGCAATTAGCATTAAAGTTTATTTAAATGATTACTTGTAATCCTCAATCTGATTCATAACCAATTGATTTGTAGAACTTGCATTAGTAATTGTACAATTTTAAGAACTGTTGTTTTATGGGGCCGACTTTCATGAATTGTTAGACTGGGTCCACCCATAAAAGCTTAGACCTAACATTAAATATGCACCTAATTCAAACATATTAGGTTCTTCCACTTTGTGTACTCTACTTGTGCAAATCAGTATAATGGACTCTACCACAACAGTTGTCAAAGTACTTGACATGGCATCAACCTACCTATGGTACAAGTCACATAGCTGATGAGCACAGTCTGTCATTTTTTGCAGATGCTGGTGTCATTTAGGAGAATCTGATTACATATACTTTCAAATGGCATTTATTCACTTTATTTCACACCTTGTCCATCCAAATTATATTGAATATTATTGTATAAATTTCTCAAAAAATGCTAAATGGCAAATTCAGTCATACCATACTTCGACACTTTTAGTCATAGTCACACAAACACGGTGATCACATTTAGACCAGTTTCTTTGCACTCTATGATGTACAAAGGAACACACCTGCAGTAGGAAAAGTTGTAATACAAACATACACAGACATGCAACAATGTCATTATTTATAAACAAAGCCTGAAAAGTCCAATAGATTGGAGGCAATTATGTAACTTTTGCTTATATCTTTTGTATGGTGTGGTATATCTTTTATTTTTATTTGTACATAATACCTAGTCTTCCAATACAAATCTGTGTTTTTTTATAAAGACTCCAAATACAGCTGTCAATTTAGATATGTTTTAGCTAAATTTTACATCGTGCTGACATATCAATTTGAAAAAATGTCATATACCGATGTTAATAATAACACTTAATCTATGTTACTCCAGTGTCCCATTCATGGTTGACCATTCCATTCAGAGGATGATTGAACATTCGATTCTTCCTGCACTAGTAATACTTCAATCCAATATTTTCTTTTTTAACCCAGTGTACTACTAAGATGCCATTGTAAAAGTCCATAGCGATCAATAATTTTTCTCTGGAATTTTTGTTTTATCAATTAATATGTAGATGACTCAAAAAGCATAATTGAATAAACTTTTATAACTATATTTCAATTATTTTAAAAAAATAATTATATTTTAAATTCATCTAATTCAGTGTTCTTACATGACCCATGTGACTTTTACAGTAGTTAAATATTTTGTGAATTCTGGTTGCTTATCTTTGACTGCTGAACTTTTTAATTCATTTCTTGAAAATCCATTGTCATTAGGATAGTTTTACATAGAACTATTTATAATTTATATAGACTATATGTGTCAAATATGTAAAGTGGTATTAAAAAGAGGCATGTTTTCTTTTCCCCCTTTTAATTGTTGTTCTGTCTACTAATACCTCAAATGTAATGTGTGCATATCTTCATGTTCATAAACCAGTTTCCAGAAACCAGAAACAAGGGCAAAGACTGCTGTTTGGATCTTGATACCAAACAAGGCTTATGTTGCAGAAAACTAGAATGCAATGAGTTTGTCTCGAAGAAAGCAAAAGCTGTATATATTGTACA